AGAAGGGCTGAGAAAGGTGAGGGGGTGGTAGTGGTTATATCTCTTAAAAGTGCATGTTTTAGAGAAATATAAAATTGAATTGAACGCCAAAGTGCAGAATACTTAAATTTGAACTCTGGCATTTAACATAGATCTCTAGATTACCAAGCGATCTTTGGCTATTATTAGCATGAATCTTTTCAACAAAAGCTAAAGATGTAGGTCTTTTGGAATAGTGCATGTTCTAGTCATTAGCGTATTAATTATGTTTCATTCTTAGTAAACTTTAATTAGCCGACATGAAAATGTCATTATCTGTTTAATATTTGATTCAATTTTAGTCCTGCAGTGACCTAGCCTACCGGTACTTATTTTAATGAGTCTGCTTCTTGGTTTTAAACTGCCAATACCAATATTTACTACTGATTTTATGAAAGACACTTTACTTTAATTATCTTGTCCTTAGAATGGGACATTTAGCTGTACTGTAGGTTTGTGCACTTATGTATTTCGGACAATCAAATCACTGAGTGCATTACACTATTCGAAAAAGAGTACTGACCATTATCTCCCAATATACTGTACTTGACCATTGCACTTTATGTCACGTCCATTTATTTGTATATGTTGAGTGCAAGATGGTGATAGTATATATTTACTATTGGCCATCCTTGGTCTTTGTGCCTCAGTATATGAATGCAAAAATCAAATAAATTTAATATTTCCTAGCATCATTTCTAAGATTAATTTCCTACTTCCCCCACCCCCTTTCATTATATTGCTGGGGTGGGTGGGAGGTTTACTCACCGTCTGTTTTACATAAAATATACAATGCTCACTCAACTTTTTCAAAGAGGCAAATAACATTCTTCAAATACAAAGCTAACACTCTAATTGGAGACTGATTCCCGAGACCACCCCAAATTTTCAGGTCCCACAGTGGTCTTGAATTAGAGGCAAATTGCAATATTAATATAATAATATAAAAGGATAATATAAAGTCAAGAACGATATATACTTAGTGTTTATTGTTTTTGGCAATTCCATTCTGCATTTTGCTTAGTCTGTTTTAAATGCACTTATTCCATGATTAGACAAAAAAAGGAATGAAAATTAAAAACTGTGCTGTGAGGACTGTCTTTTATCACTCAATACACATTTCCCCTGTCCCTTATTCCCCTTCCCATCCATTTCGACTATTTTTTTTTTTATAGAGACACATTGATGCTCTATGAATGAGGTCAATTATCCATTAGTGACGGATCGTATCTTTCACATGTCTGGGGGAAGTTGGATGCTTCCTGAATTGTCATGTGGTTAACCGACACGTGGAATTCAAAACCAACACATTAGTTGCAATGAAATGCAGTTGGTATGGAACCCTTAAGAATGCATGTCTTGCATCTTGTGGAGTAAGATTGGCTTCCTGGCCAAGCATAATTATCTCAGAATAAGTGTGGATGTTAAATTTGAGGTAATTTTTTGAGTACAATGCATGAACTCTTGATTATTCCCTCTGTTTTCTATAGTATAGAATTTGACAGTGGGAAGGGTTGGATGCTCTGTTATCTAATTTGGGGTGTGATCAGGGACTGCGCCATGGAAGCTCCAGTGTTTTTAAGCCATTTTAAAACCTTAATTACATTTAATATTTCACAATTGGTTGAGATTTTTTGGCTGCTGGTTAGAGATTTTGGAGGGAACACCCCTTTCGCCATCCCTTGGATTTGCCTCTGCCTCATAACATCACTCTAGCATCTGTAAGTACTGTCCATGTAGGACTTGCACCTTGTAATTTTCATGTTTGGTTCTTCTGCATTTAAAAAAATTGTTTTCTCATTTCCGGGATATCATTTGTCAGATTTATTTCATGACTACACTTTATCAAATTAAGATTGTGCTTTCATCTTTGCTAAATACCAGATACAACTGCCGCAAGGTACAAATATGTAACAATGTCATCATAGAGTTCCATCCTGTAAAATGCGAGTGTACTTGCTGTTGGCAGTGAAAGCAATTAAATAATTAATATTTTACACTACAATTGTTTTGAAAAGGCTGTTATTGTATAGCTGAATCATTGATAATTATGACTAATATTGTTCTACCTGATGTACAGATAGTTTGGAAATCTTCTCTTAATGACCTTCAGAAGGAAGTAAATCCTATTATTTATGGTTAAAATGATTACATTTACATTTACAACCTCAACCAAATTCAGTTGTGCAGAAGTCAGAAATATTACTATTTACTGTAGCATAGGCAGTAAGAGTGAAACAGAAAATGAAATTATTACAGTTATTTAGTAGAAATGTTAAACATTAAAAGAGAAATGTTTCAATATTTTATTATTAGAAGATAATAATAAAAACCGAAAATGTTCAAGACAACTATAAAACAGAAACAGTAAATTATGCAATACATGTAATAATAATATTTAATTTTATATAGTGTCTCTATGCCCTTCACATTATCTAAATTAGTTAACCATTAATTTGTGTGTAGTGTACTCTAGAAGTTGTTTATCAGAAGCTTGGTGTGTCCCATAATTTTTACAGCTCATTTAATATACTGTGAAGTTCAGAACTACTCCATGTGCTGGGAATAAAATCAAAACATTGGGCTCACATTTTCATCCTCTGATTTCTCTGTTGCCATACTTTACATTCTTGCGCAGTCATTCAACGAGGCATCGCATCTTGTTTCGCCCTCTTCTGGCTTCCTAGTGGATGAGATAATGCTTGTATTTCTGGAAGTGAAACACAGTAGAGACATGCTGTGTGGTGGTACCAATCAGTGGAGATAAAGTTAGGATGCCAGCATGAGGATGACTGATCTACAAGTCTTATCGTACCTAGTTTCCGATAATGTAATTATCTATATCATCTTCATCATCTTTACCAGTGCGTTGCTCTTTCATATCGGTTATGATAGATGGAGGAGGAGGAATGAGGTACAATACCATCACAAGAGGTACCGATTCAAATGTAGGTCAGATATTACAGTATATGTATCTTTGACACTGTTTTCGCTATAAAAAATTTATATGTCAATTACAACTTATTGGAAGCCTCTAAAAATGTTATCTTTGTTGCTGCATTTGTTGGGTCATCTATGGTAGTTCTCCTTTATACTACACTTTTTTTTATAAGAACCAGTAAAATTTTGCACAGGCTCAGTTTTCTTCTTTTTTTTTTACAGTCAGTTATTACTTTACTGTATTATAGATGGTATTACATAGTAACACCTACTGCAAATAAGGTACAGATAGATTTGTTGGTTTTCTGTTAAATAAATACCTCATTTGACATTTTACCTCAGCCTCAATTTTCTTATTTTGTTCTTAATTTGTAAGCAATTTCAGCCTCAGTGTCCTTATAAAATGTGTTCTTATAAAAAAAAAAGTGTAGTATGAACTGTACTTAGGCTCATCATAATTTTCATAGATTATATAATTTCATCAGCATTCAACTTCTGCATTATAAAGGCATACTGTTGTACAAGTTCCTTATATAGGATAGTCAAGCGGTCTTCATGTATACCCAATTTATGACTACATCATGAAATGTTTTTAAAATGAATACTGTAACGGCTTTTGTAAAGTGAATTTTTAGCATATTGATAACCCATAAATTATTTAAAACGAGTCGTAAGTAATCTATTTGCCGGTGACATCTAAATGCAGTCTCCAATGATTGTCACAGAGGAAGAAATTGACTCATATAGACAATATATTGTAATTGCTATTTTTAGAATATTAAAAAGCATCCATAAGGGACCTTACCTCCACAAAAGTACTTGGATTGACCTTAAAGGATGTCTGCCATTGTTATGACCTTGATACTGAGAGAAAGTAAATATTTAATTTTGGTCATGTTCTAGATTACTGTATGTTGTCTTGTTTGTTGATGTTCAAAGTACATGACAACAACATAGTAATTAGGTTGTCATAGCATGTTTAGCTTCGCTTTAATGTTTGTAGTATCAACCATGAGGCAAAAATCAAAACAAACCTGTAGGTTGCAGGGTGTCCACACGATCATTAATCATCACTCGATAGAGTGAGCCTTCCAATTCACTCATCCATTGTGACTGTCCTCTAAGATGTTTTATAATCATATAAAATGCTATTTGTTATTACAAAAGTAAGAAAATATATAGACAATTAAGTATGGAAAATCAGATAAATGTATAAAATTTCAGAGGTCCCAAGTCTACCAGAAGTTGCTGGAGTCTCCCGGAGTTCAGGACGTTGTCCTACACTCCTGCAACCGGACAAGAATTTCCCAGAAAGTAGCAACACAAAATTGGATGTGCTAAGAAAGAAAAAACGTTTAAACAAATCTACCGGAAATGACCTCCAAGTTTGAACCCCTCAAATTTTATACTTCAATTTCATTTTTGTCATTAATTTCTGTGCCTAAAATAGAAACAAAAATAAAAGGTTGCAAAATTAGTTAAAAAGTTCCTCTGCTTTCTACATTGATCATGCAATTTATTATTAACGACAAAGTTTTTATCTAAGTATCTATTGGATATTTCAGTGTGAAGTCTCCTTTATTAGAAGGTGAACTCTCTATTATCAATTGATAATTTCATTTCATTTCATTAGGCATGAGCACCAAGGGTATGCCAATCAGTGAACTTAATCACTATCCTATGTGGCATATCCATTAAATGACAGGGGACTGAATGGACAGCCCACCGGGGGTACCCTTTACACTTCTTAAATGATGTAATGGGTACTTTTAAGTGAACACAAGACAAGTGCGTACACTGGGCCCACGGTTTAAAGTCCTTATCCGAGAAGACCTGTTCCACCACCGAAACAATTGGCGAGTGAGCCGTTTGAACCAGCGCTGATATTATAGCTGAAGGTTACGGTGCCCCTGACTTAACCTCTCGGCCAATCAAATCGCCGATAATAATTTGAAGAAAAAAAATTGTTCACAACTTGTGTGGCATTTATAATAATTTCGTTAGCATTTTTCTAATTTCAATCATTTTTTTTTTTTTTTCAGATCTAGAGATTCCAGAGGCACCTCAGTTGGCTGGAAATATTCCTACAGAGTCTGGGTGAGTATATTCCATTAATTTTATTGGTTGAAAACAGGTCATGTGAGATTGATTTAAAGTGAATATTCCATGGTTATTTGAGTAATAGTCAACGATCGTTGAATAGTACTTTTTCATCTCTAAGACAACATAAAAATCTCAAATCAACGCGAGTGAGAAAATTAGCCTAGACTAGGCAACCCGCGCGTCAACAAGTAGTTGATCATTCAGTAGTCCTCGTTCCACCGATAACATGGCAGGTACATTTGGTACTGGGCCATTTGTACTTTTGAGCGAAGAAAGTTTGGAGGAATTACTTAACAAAAGTTATGCCGAATCAACAAAAAAGGCAATAAGATATGCAGTTAACCCTATGGAGTATTTCGCCAGCTTCAGCGGTGAGGATTTGAGTCTATTAGCCAAACATGAACTTGATCGATTTCTATGCCTAGGTCTAGGGTGCTAAGCCGGTTTCATGCTGGCCTTCAAAAGGAAGATGGGTCCTTATATACGTAGAAGAGCATGCAGGCAATTGTGAGAGATACAGCTATGTGTTGTATAAAACAATTCTTATTTGTCCATTGGGGTAACATTTCATTCGGTGAAAGATTGAATGTTCTATTCAACTTGGCTACACCTAGTTGAATAAAACATCCAGTCTTTCACCTCTTGAAATATCCTACCCCATTGCAGTCATAAACATTCATTATGTGTATACTAATTTCATGATAGAAAACAATTGTCCAAAATTATAGTTGGTTGTCATATTATCTTCTTGTCTTCATGGAGTACTGTGACTAATTGTAGGTAGCCATTGACATTTAGGAAACAGCAGTACCACTATGGAAAATAGTCATCTTTTTTAACTTAGAATTGTGAAAGTATCCACTAATCAACACCTCACAAAGGTAGCTTCAAGTATTAAAAGGCACACTGATTACTCAAGTATAGTACTCAAAATAATGATATTTTGAATGTAGGAATATGTAGCCTATTGTAGAAGATTATTATACATGTTGGTATACCCCCTCTAGAGTTTGGCTTTGGAAATAAATATTCAGAGTTTATGTAATTTTTTTTTTTCACCAGAACTTTAGTAAGCTTTTTCTTATTCTTGATTTCCACCAAAGAATCATGACTTGCAGCCAACCAGGTACTAATTATACCTCCATGTTTATACCTAATTATGTTGAATTGATTGGAACTGATTTGATTTACATATGAAAACAATTCAGTTTAAAGGAAAGAGAGATTATTGCCAATAACATCACCTTGTATTAAGTAGTATAAGAAGGAAAAGGATCGGCATTTCTTATCCCTGGAAAAGGAGCAGCCATTCCTGATTCCTCAAACAGGATTTCTAGTTTCTAATGTCCTCCAAACAAATGTGTGCAATTTTTGAACTTTCATGTGAGCTATTGCACAACAGTAACATCTGCTAATTATCAGGAGATGCCAATTGCAGAAAAATTTGCGAAAGATTTTTGCTTTCACAGAGGAGATTTTTGGAAGATTCACATGGTTCCCTTCAGTGTCATAGAGCTATATATTTTATATATAATTCTGTATATAAAATAAAAGATAATGTTCTAAGGTAAATCTTTGAAAATAGGAAATTCATGCCAACTCAGTCAACACTCTTTAAAATGCACAAGCTGTATGTACATCACATGTTTTGAATCACCATCAAACGGTGTGTTTGTACAAGACTTGCAATAACATTCTTGGTATTATCAATAATAATGGGGTATTTATATAGCTCATATTATAGATACCAATACATAGTTAGATGTCCCTTCTGACATAAATTCAGAAGTCTAGGGCTATTAACAAAGTTCGTTCCTGGCCAAAGCCTTACTGTGTATAATATAGAATTGATATCTTCGATGGATCCAGGATTCTTCAATGGGATAGATGGGGAGGAGTCTACCAACAATTTCAGATGGTTGAATCAACACTTACCTTATAGGGAGTGTGATCCTCTTGATGTGGGTGTAGTTGCTAAAATAATATCAGAGGTCTTAAATAAAAGTTTTAATTTTGGGTAACTTACTAGGGTATCTATTATTCATTAAAAAAACACATCATTAGCCCCTCCCTCCATCTATCCCTGGATACAGATTATTATTTTTATTGATGGTGTTCCAGTAAAGTAGCTTTGTTTTAATGAAATTTAGACCTACTCTATGCTTAGACAAGAATTTTATACATTGTTAGTGAACATTTTATTTTTTAAATTTCCAATTTGTTGGTGATGCATGTGTGAACATTAGAAACCAAACATTTTATTTTATTCATAATAATGATTACCTCCTACTTTGTCAATTTGACCTACATATTAGACATAGGTTCAAGTAATAGAAACCTGACCATAAAATGAATAATGCAGAAATCCAAGTTTTTTATAGTATAAAATTAAATTTAATGGTACAGTACATTTTCCTTACCATAACTGGGGTTTTTTTTCTATCTAGCAAATTTCCATTTAGATTTTCAATTTGGCGAGTAGAAAATTTCCCAGACAATAATACATTCTTTCTGATGATTTTTGTATGTCTAAATATTGGTTATGAAAACCTAATCTTTAAAATAATATATGATTAAAAATAAAGTCTTTTGAACTGTTATTTTTGCCGATAATCAAGATGATTAAACAATATTGAATTGAACCATGTTTTAATTATTCAGTGGCAGGATCTAAACATCTTCATTATCTAAAGATTTATGTTAGTGCCTAGGGCCAATGTGTTTATTTGGATGTGATATCCACTATCAGAGTATTTACATTAATGGTTTTTGAAATGATAATAGTACCTTTGCCTACTTTCTTATTCTGATTGTTAATGATTTTGTTCATCTTATGAGCTATAGTTATAGCTATATATTCAAGATGTAGTTTATAATAAATGTGTCATCGTAGTACGAATGAGTGCAAATTTGTTTAAAGACTAATCTCCTACAATATTCTCTTTCATACTAGGAGTGCCAAATAAATGTAATGGTAACACTTTTCAATTTGTTTGGCCTTATGAAATTGAAATTATGTCATATTCGTATTAATAGAATAACATTTTATTATTATGAGTCCATAGTAATGGCACTTAAATCTGCCATTGAAAGTATCAAAACGAAATGTTTGCAATTGTAAAAATTGCAATTCATAATTATTTTGCCTGTTTTAATAATCTTCTACTTTTAATTAGTTCTTAATAGCAATAAAATGAGCAAGTATTTAATATTTTTTTACTTTAGATGTTTAATATTCTTTTCACTCGATTTTAATTTTTTAGGGACGCGCCAGACACTTTTTCTAGTGAAAGCACAGGAGAAAATAAGGAACTAGAAAAAATGGACAGAACAAACAACAGAAGTGTAAAACCAGGTAATCTATGTTTTTTTATCTATCTTGTTTGTAGGCAATTTTAATATGTTTAATAAATAAATGTTTCTTTTTAAACAATATTTACATTAAGATTTCTTCTGAAATTGAGAGTGCTGGCTGTTAAAATGCTATTCAAAATTATCAACATTATCAAGGTAGACATGTAGGTAGACTAGGTTATCTTGTACACTTATAAGAAAATGCCATATTTATATAAAAAAGTAATATAAATTCTGACCTAGTAAAAACTGAGTACTTTGACCAAATATGAAAAAATTGTAGAGAATGGCATTGCAAAAATCAACATTTCATATGTATGCCTGCAGAGAGTGGGAGAGGGGATGCGGGTTAAAAAAATGTGTGTACTATTGTGAAAATGTTGGTACTTGTGCATTTCTCCTAATGAAGTTGTTATTAACTTATATAAAGTGCAGATGTTAATACAATTATATATTTGTGTCAGCATTAATGTGTCCATTCATGATAATGATAATGCTTGGGGATTTGTACAGTACATTATTAGATACTCAAATTGTATATAAGTCGTATACATTCATGTATATGTGTGCAATGGAGACTATAATGCCATTTACATTGGATATTTGGAAAATTATAATTCTGGATGTTCTGGTAATGCATATACACTGTATGAGACAACTATAGATAGGGATATGCAGATAATGCATATAAGTCAATGGACCAAACTCATTGGATTGACTTGATAAGTTCCTCAAATGTTATTGCTTCTAGCAAAATAGTAAATGCATTTTAAGCAAAAACTAACAAAATCTGGTGAATTGAAACATGTCAAGAATAGCCAGGGGGACTATGTAATTCTCTAGGGTTTTGATCATAGAAGGTCCCACCCTTATGTTAGTTACTGTAGGTCTCAAACAACACAAAAAAAACATGTTGGCAACTTTGGAATAGCGGCAGGTTGAATTTAAAAGTGACTGTTATTCTGAATTGTCCATGTGTTGCCAAACACATATCACTTGATAAGTTCATTAAATGTTATTGCTTCAGGCAAGATAGTGAACACATTTTAAGAAAAAATTAAGAAAATCTGGTGAAACGGAACATGTGAAGTGCTGTAAATGCTATATAATGACTTAGATGGAAAACATCAAGTAGTCTAACATGTATTTTCTATTAATGTTATGAAACTGTAATTATTCTTGAAACATTTGTCCTTGAATTTGGAGGTTTGGATTTGTTTGTGATGGTGGTGTAGTGTAAGGTTTTTTGCGAAGAGGGGCTACAGAGATGACCATTGAGGTTTTGAAGTAGTTCTTTCGCCAAATTTTCACTTTTGTCTGTGTATGTACAGTATGTTCTGAATTTGATCACTGAATGTTTTTGATTAATGTGTAGTTAGGTGTCAGTGGCCAAATATAAGCATAAAATACGTAAAAATTTATTATGAAATATCAGAGCTAGTATGACACGGCCTTGCATTGTCTTCTCGACCAGCAATTTATTGCAATATCTATTCACTCACGAAGTCAACTTCATAACATCAGGACGTTATTTTAACATCAAGATTTTTTGGTATCTTTTTTTATCGGTAAGCATATGTTCCTGAATATAATATATTTTGAGGAAATAATAATTACTTATTACCAAAAATTAAGTAGTAACTATAGATGTATTTATTTGTGTTATGTCTAAATATTAGGGAGGGGTTAAATAAGCTTACTGATAATAAAGCAATATTGTTCTAGTGTTTACCATTGGATTGGATTGGATTTATTCGGTGTAAACACCAAGGATAGCCCACAAAAGTCTAGAAGAAGACTTATTTCCAGTGGGGTCCTTCTGGTGGTGATGGGTAGTACACCAGGAGACCATCCCCTATTCTTTTCCAAGAGTGCATTCTTTAACGTGCACTTGGGCCATAATGCACACGGAACCAATGGCTTAAAGGCCTCATCCGAAAGACGGTGCGCTATTATAACTTGTATTTCAGCCCTCTAGCTGAAACACAAGAAGAGGCAGCGATGGGAATTGAACCAGGGACCTAGAAATCTCCACGGTTCAGCACACACACAGCGGTTACTACCAGATTAGCTGACTGAGCTAAGCTGCTCTCTCAAGTTTACCATACCTGAATTTTATTTCTTTGGAGTAAAACTCACCAAGAATAACCCATGAAAGTCCAACTGACAGTACTTATGATGTGTACATGTTAACTGATGACCACTGTTTATGATCATCTTAAATATTTTGTGAGTACTAATGTTTACAAGTGCTTATTACTGTTGGCCAGTGGTTACTAGATGTTATCATTGCTTATGATCATCAAAATTTATTGGTGGTCAATTATACCTACTGATGGTCAGAACTATTGATAAAAGTTATGAGACAGGTAAAGATGGCATCCTCAGATAGAGTTGCCTTCCAGTTTGAGTTCACCTTTGGGACCTCAAAATTTGGGGTGGTCTAAGATTTTGGTCTTCAATTAATAGAGGATCAGCTTCGGTTAAGAGACTGAAGATTGTTATTTGGTTCTTTGAAAAAAGTGGTCTCGTATTAGAGAGGGTCTTGGAATTGGAGTGCGCACTGTTTATTGTAATCGTAAGTGTTGTTCGATCTAAAAATAGGGGTTGGTGAATATCCCACAACTCGCAGCATCATTTGGCTGAATTACTACTTATTATCTAAATACTATTAGAGCATTAGTAGAGTAAAGCTTGGTTTCCATGCAGCCGCTGCACGTTTTTGCCAACAGCTTTTGGTGATGCTGATTGGTCGGTCGAATCAAGGAGCCTTCCCATTTGTGTCAAGAACTGCCATATAGTGAAACAAATAGCAGATATGCAAGTAAACCGTGATTTAGTTTCAATGGTAAAATTATCTCATATCTGTCTGCTGACATCCTTAAATTTATTTGGAAATAATTGAAAATGTATTTAACCACCTATCAAGACAAAAATACAATAGATGAACAAACAAAAATAAATTACTGGATTTCGATCAAATCAAGAGGTGGACAGAAAACAAGATGGATGGATAAAATCAGGGAATTTTAGTGGAAATTACATGGAGAACACTGCACAGAGAAGAGAAGAATGGTAATTCAATGAAGAGGCTTTCCTCCTGCAGTGGAGTAAAACTGATGTGATAGTATACAAATATTGGCTGCTCATAAGGCCCTATAAAAAATATTTTTAGTTTATCACCCTATCTGGGCAGGAAAAGTGATGAGGGAGGGAGGCTTTTTTTTTTTTTTTCGGGTTACCCCGATGTTATGGTTCATTTCAGCCCCTGTCGTTGTTGGATGATATGAACATGTATCTACCAAGAAGCACCTTTTTACGGCTGCTAGGTAGTCATGGACCACGCCCATACACAATTCAGCACAATGACACTGCAAGTTATGGGTTATTCTCCTACCTTTACCTTTATTTTGCTTAAGCCAAATATCACCCTTGGGTTGTTTGCTGGTGCATTGAACAAGTAAAACATGATTTAGATAATGCAAACAATTAATATCTACTAACTATTTAATATAATAAATGAAAAAAAAAAATTATTTTTTTTTTATTTTCAATTATTTTTTTTTTTCAGTACCACAGAAAACATGTGCGTGGGGGTGATAAACTAATAATTTTTTTTATTAGGGGAAAGGTAAAATCTGTTGCCCCTCTATGATTTGCCGATTGTAGCCTATTTTCCTAAGGGCCGAAGAAAGGCCTGAGGGAAGATAGACTACTGATTCCACGTCACCGAGGGACAATAGATTTCACCATTCCCCAAATCTAGAGCAGTCAATATTTGTTTTATATACCCTCATACATAGATTCTACGAGGCCTAAAAAAGTACTTACTTCCTAGCCTAGCCTAGAGACCTACTAACTAGAGCCTAGGAGATCACAGTGTGTCTAGCTCTTCTTTGCTCATTTCCTCAATGTCAACCCATCATCTTGCAATTGACAGGACATTTGAAAATCCTTTGGTGCTTGTGCTATCGGCTTCATCAAGAAATATAGGCCTATGCTGGTCCTTCATCCAGGAACTTGAACCGACAGCCTCCATAATTATTGTTTATCGTCTACTCGCTGATCCGTGGCGCGGTCAGGGGCCATAATCTCTTTTCGTAGTAGAGATCGCAGTTCCCTCTACCATCAGCGCGATGGTGGGGCCTACAGTTTACACCACACGACAGGTCAAAAAATTACTATTTTTCAGGGGAATAGTACTTTTTCAGGGAATAATACTTTCTATTGTCCGCTTCTTAACCAATCAGATGCCTAGAATCTATGTATGAGGTATATAAAAGATTATAGAATTTAGCTAGTGACCCTTACTCTTCTTTTATTGGCCTGGTGAGTCAGTCGTTCCTACTGCAATTAGATTTTTCAATTTTTTAGTGTAATAATGATTTTTAACCTACAATTTTAAACTGATTTTTAACTGAGGAATTCTGTGTTTATATTTGTCTATTTTTGTTGTTAACATGTTGTACGGTCAAGGCCAAATGAGTTTTCCCATTGTGGGATAATCAAATTTTATTGAATTGAATCGAATTGACCAACTCTATGGGCTAATTCTATTCAAACCCCCTCCCTCTTAATAAGATGACTGTTTTTGGTCCACAAAACATTCCTAATGATGACATAATTATGACATATGTTAAAATATTGAATCCCGACACAATAGCACGCATTTCGATACTTACTTATACTATCTTATCTGTTCTAATAGAATGTTTAATGATTGGTTAATAATTTTGATCACAAAATTACGTCACATGACACGATCCTTCATATCACCCATACATCACTCGGCCTTTTCTATTCTCAAAGAATTTTGGGTCAAATTTCAAATGATTTCGCAGTAAGCAGACTTCACATACATGCTGGCACTGTGGTACAGTGATAAATGTTGCTTTTCTGCATGTGTGACGTTGCCAAAGCAGATGGATAGATAAGTGTCATTAATTTTAGGCAACACTGCAGGGTAGTTTGGTTGTACCTAATTCTGTGTGGTGTTAAGCTTTATGCAATGTTTAGTTTGAGTTGGCATTGTTATGTATCGTAATTATCATCAGGATGTTGGATATTTTATTAGGAAATTTTATTGGCAACCATATTGATAAAATTTTATCTTAAAAACATTTTATGTATCATTTCTATCATTACAGTATTGTCAAACCTATAGTTTTCTATATTAAATACTTATCATTTGATTCTCATCTCTTTCAATAGCTTCATCTTCAACACCATCATCATTAATACAACGATTACCATTTTTATATATCATCATCATGATTATAATCATCATCATCATTATATACCATAACCATCATCATCATCATCATCATCTTTATATATCATCATCATCTTATATATCATCATCATCATAGAATTTTGAAACCTTCTGTCTCTTGCACTTTATAAATGTTATTTATTGTTATTATCATCATCATCTTATTATTAACAAGAGAAACAGTTGTTCTGGGTGTGTTTTTTTCACCTATGGCCTTTAGTCTACTTTCAAGGAAAATTTTCCACCAGATGTTTCTGTTGTATACAAGGTTTCTAATAGTTAGATGCTCTTTAATACAGAATACCTACCTGGTCAGTGTATATATAAATAATACATATTCCATTCCTGTCAGACACAAATTATAGGGCAGTTTATAAAAAAGTATCATATTTTATTGCTTCTCAGTCAAGTTAGTTTTTACTATCAACTTTGTGCTAGAACAAAGACAATAAAAATTAAACATGAGAGATATTAACACAAAAAGTGCTGAGTGTATATTACAACTCAAACAAATGTGTGATGCTTATAGCAAAAATTGTTGGCATTTGATGATAAGCCGCTTTAATACATCAAGCAGCAATTAATGTACGATTAATAGCGTTCATATGTTTGCAGGGTCGTTGGTAACATATTGTCATTGTACTCCAATAAACTTAACACACTTCGATAAAGCATACACTTGGAATTACAGCTCCCTAGCTGCAAGTAAAAACTATTTTGTAAGGAATAGCTCATTGGATTATTAGTTTCATTACATATTTTGTAAGTCTTTCCATTACTTAATAGTATGTTATGTTTTTTTGGTGCCTGGATGGATGTCTGCATAAGACTTAATCTTGGCGCCTCTCTGTGTATCATTTATCTGTTTTTATTATAACATTATACTGGACAGCTCATTAGTATGCATTAATCCGTGGCGGTAATATCAAGTGAAGGGTGTGCTGTTAATATCATGTATTATGTATCTTGATTGGTGCGATCACATGTTGTGTAACCGAGGGAGTGTTGTTGTTTTATATATGTTTCCTCTTCATTAGCCAATAACAACGCCAGCCTTGGTCAAAGTTAACTAGTGTTAAGCTTGAGCTTGTATTGTTAAACAGTATTCTTTTTGCTCTGATATCAGCTGGACTTTACCATCCGAATCTTTGCCACTTTTACCATATGTAGCGCTTTTAATTGTAAGTAGCCGTCTTAATGTATTGCACAGTGCAAAAGATGCCTAAAACTTTTGAAATCATTAAATGCCAAGTAAATGTAATACCAAAATTTGTTGTTTAATATTGTCTTTTAATTCATTAACAGTTGCAAGGCTACGTGATAAGTTCAGTGATCGTCCGTCATCATACCACACCTCGTCTGAACGTCAGCAGAGATTCTTGGCTGCTCGACCATCTAGCGGTTCATACTCGTTACGAGGAGACAGCTACGAAAGTCATAGTAGTCGTCGATACAGTGGGGATTATACTCGATATTCAACTAGAGATAGAATATCTTCTGCTGATTCACCGTTATCGTCCGATCGTTACAAAAGTCGTAGCCCACTCTCAAGTACCACAGATCATGTTACAAGCCGGAATAGAACAAGGCCAAGTTCATTGACTGGCAGCTTCGATTCTAAACGTGCTAGTACTGAGAGTGGTTACGGAAGCCTTGAAAAAGAGAAAAAACGAAGCAATAGGGCAACAGACCCAAGTTACAGTAGTCACATAACACGTAGTGACAAATCAGAGACGAGCACCCAGTCTCTAACGGACAAGTATCTTGGTGCACGATCAACCAATGGGGATTTAACAAGTCCCAGATACAGTCCCACTTCTCCTAAGTACCCGTCAAGTAGTCGCAAAATGGGTGGCACTCTAGCTACAACTGCCAGCGAAAAATTGTCACAGTTGCGGCAACATATTAGCGGTTCTGAATCAGCAGAGGATGCAGAAGCACGTACAGCACGTATTACAAAATACAAAGAGCAGCGAAGGCGGGAACTCGCTGAAAAATATGGAATTGGTTTATCGCCCTCTAGTAGTGAGAATGATCTCACTGGAAGACAAGCATCACAGTCTGGATTATCAAAAGAACGTAAATATTCGGAAAATGATACGAAAAAATCTCTCGAGGAAAGTAAAAGCAAAGCACCACTAGCTAAAGAGGAATCAGTTGATAGTGTATCAAGTAAATCTTCAATAAAGGTTAAAACTGACGATGATGACGTCTTTGTTGTAAAAGAGGATTCACCCAACACAAAGTGAGTATAGCTTTTATATGTCTGCTGCCCTCTGTCAACTATTCTGTGGTTGGTGAAAGCAAATTCTTATAGGATAATGTTGATCTTTTATACAAGAAAACAAGATGTTTTGATTTATTATTGATGTTTTTATTCCTGAATTCTTATTGATTTCTAAAGAAATCAAAATAAATCTTATATTTGGAAGCCATTTTTAAATGGTGGAGGTTTTATTTGCATGATCTGGTACAAGTAGTTAATGTGCATGATATTACTATAATTATTAGATTAATTCATATACTATTATTATTGGATTCGAGTTGAGGCTTTTTACAGAATAATTTGTTAATGCAAGGGCCCCCAGTGTTCTGCAAGACTGTATTGGTTCATCAGTTGCCTGGAAATGTCTTAAATCAATGACCTTCAAGAAATATATCTAAATTACAAAAAAATTACTGACGAATGAAGTCTCAGCTAGTTTCCCGTAATATGATGTGAATTCCACATGATTTTAGAACAGCACACTTTGGTTTGAGTTGAGTTAACTTTTACATGTTTTCAATCTTAAGAGTTTGTGAGAAACAAAGCTATTTTTACTACAAAAACAATCAGATTTCAAAAGATTGATCAATTTTGCTTTTTGAAGGTATATGGTCCTATAATAGTTAATAAACTTGAGACACTTTTATTTGGGAGTGGAGATGTAGATTGGTGGTTAAGATACTTGTCTTTCAATCTTAGGCTCCATTGTTCAAATCCTGAGACAGATGGACTCCACTCCCAAAGCCTTGTAATGATGCTTTGCTGAAAAGCATCCGCATTATTTCATTTATTTAAGAAGGCTCCTGAATATCAACTAACCTTCTATGATAAGTTAGAAGGTTCGTCCTCTCTAAGTATATTTAAAAAAAAATTAAATTTAAATCTAAAAGAATAAATAAATAAATAATATAAAATATGTATTCGAATATTTTAATATCTTGATAAAGTAACAGGTCATGTTCAAGTTATTAATTTTCTGTATTTTTTGCATAGAGCCTTCTACATGGAAATTGGCTATACTGCTGTATTGGTTATCAGTTATAGATTTTTATAGTTAAAAATCTCTCAATCAGTGAAAACGTTTCTTTCTATAGTAAATTGGAAGGCAAAACTTTCTAGTACGGTATTTGGTTATTTTATAATAGATAATGAATCATTGAATTTTTTAGGGTTTTCCCCAATTTACCACAGTCAATCCATCTTTAAAGCCTTTATTATGTGAAGTGGATTATTATAATCATTGAGGATAAGCAATTACATATACTATTTGACAAATTCATACCTTAGTATTTCTTTTAGCCATCTCAAATTTATCCCTCCCTCTCTCCAAAGATATAATAAGAATATTTTCTCACAAACTTTTTATTGACGATTTTGCATGATTATGTATATAAAGTATTTATCTTTATAATTATGCTTCTAACATAGTGTTGGACACAACTTTAAGGTTATAAGTTCAATTGAAATTTTTTAAAACATTTAGTATATTGAACATTTTTTGTGAATTATTATTTTCAGAAATGACCTATTTTATAGAATATAAAATAATAGAATTATGATGATGATAATAAGCAAATAAAAGCTATAGAAATACAATTTCTGTGATTAAATTAATGATACATTAAAAACCAAATTCCTTTTCATAATAATATAAAATAAATATGATTTAGAAAGCCTAAACATATAGTGACTGAAAATTTGCAAAGTAGGTCAGTGAAATGTTTTTGAATAAATAAATTTTTCTTTTTAAAATGAATATTCTTGGAAATTTTTTAGATTTTTCAAAATGATTATTAGCCAAACACAAACAATAATACAAGCAAAATTAAATTAACAAAAAAATAACGTGAAAAGTGATTAAAGGTAAATTTTCACTGGACGTGGTAAAGACGCACGGATATGCTAGGTCACGTAGTCGTGTCATGTTAAGTGGAGATTCTCTTATGCATTATTTGATTCTAGTTTGTTTCCAATTACTACCTCTTAACATGTCTAGTGAAAATTGACCTTCAATTAATACATTCTTAATTTGTTGGTTTATAAGTTGTGTCCAATAACGTTGCTTTTTAGTATTTCCTTGAGCATGCAGGTAAATTTTTATCTATCCATCAGACTTGCCATCGACTCTTCGGTTATCTCACAAGAAACGAAACAACTCGTTACTGCATTAGAAGCATCACGGGCTGCTCGTCGAGAAAGGTATCTGTTTATGTAATGGATGATTCTGGTCTCTTACGTGGAATTTTTTCTAAAATCTTACTCGGTGATCGATTGTATGATACTTAATACAAATGGGTATCATGTTTGTTTTGAACATAATTATTTTTTTGAAAACTTTTCATTTTTTAATACATGTAGAACCAAAATTGAGTTTAAATGTTGCTTTTGTCTTCATTTTCATATTGACTGTTTGATAACTGCACTGTATGCACATGCACAAATTTAATTTAGTATACTCACATTATATGTAGGTGGTTGTTTAATTTGTTAAAGTCTGATTTCTACTCCCAGGATGGTGGGTCCAAATCATGCAATAAACTGGTTTTACTAACAACAAAAACTACTGAATAGTTTATAGTTGTCTAATTAATTACTTAATTAAAACTACTTGCATAAATAGGAACAAAGTGTTAGAATTATTACTATTATTATTTTAAACATATTCATCATCGTCATCATCATATTCATCTACTACTACTATTAATGCTTAGTATTAATATTATTGTATTTTGCATTTTCGTTTCAAACTAATTAGATTTATCGCAAATTTACCGTGAAATGCATTTAACCGTCTTCAATCTCAGCCTTATAAAATTTAGACAAGATGGTCATTGTGACAACTTAGTATAAAAATCCACAGGCCTTCACAGGGTAGAGTTAATGCAATGGCTAGAACTCTCCACTCTTTATGCTTACCAGTGTCTTTTTACCCGATTTTGAGTCCTGGTAGCATCATTTTTTTTTAATTTCCCGTTTTGTTTAACCTTATGATTTGACACTTACTTCTCATTTAAATGAGGAAAGGCCATATGTTCTGTTTTATGCTTGATTTTCATCTTTAATTTGTTGAATAATAATTTCTAAAAAAGAATAAAAAGGACCATAGATGGGTTACCGTACTTGCATGTAGTTTTAGTAATTTTACAAATTTTAATTGAGGTTGTTTACACAAAATAATATTCTATAATTATCTATAGTAGAGTATTATTAAATGATATTAGTGTCTGGTATGTAGCACCCTCTATTGCCATTCTTCTTACAACTATTAATAGAATAGAGTTATTAATGACTGTATTCTGATATTAATAGTAGAATATTAATGTTAATATTCTAATATGTTGTTATAATAATCAAGATTGATTTTTCTTTTTCAAAACTGCTAATGTTTGGGTAAGTGACATTAATAATGACAGCCACAACTCTTCTGAAATTGTTATGTTTGAAATCGAGTATGTACAGTAATACTAATGAATTTACAATTGAACACTTAATATCTGAAATGCATGAATGTAAAATTTGAAATATCAAGCATAGAAAATGTCAGGGAAGATTATTGACCTCCTGTTTTGTCACTATACATATATTATATTGAAAAGAAAATTGTTTATGAATATTCGGTTGTAATCATCGTCCTTACGTTGACCTAAAAAATATGCTCTGTCACAAGAAATAGTTTAGGAGTTGAATATCTTCTCCCCATCATAGATGATCGTCCCTCCCCTTCAAGCAGGTTTTAAATTATGAAATAATGTTCACATTGAGTAGTAAGAAAACTTCACCAAAAAAATTCCGCTATTTATTAATTAAATAGAAAAAAGTGTATTTGAGATACTAAAAGGCGCGATGATGTATGCCTATGGCCTAGTCTTGGTCTGTTTGAACCCATAGAATATCAATGGAGTAAAGAACATTTGCAAATAAACCAAGAGGCAGAGGGAATGCAGTACAGTAGTATAAAAGCACACCAAGGTTTACATTAGAGGCCACAGTAGATCAAGAATGCTAATTATAATATTACTATAATAGTTACATTTCCAGAAAATTGTTTTTTACATCATACTCTAATGCGAAAAAAAATAACTATTTATTAACATTTATTTAAAAAGCATGAAGGTTTTTGTAAGTTAATTTATTGTAATTTGACCAGTCCAAACTTATTGAATGTTTTAAATTCTTCTAGAAAATGCTTCATTTGACTCCCTAACTTACTGCTGCTTGCATCATCCAATTCATTGATTTTGTTTTTAATGATAGATTTTTTACACATTACTTTTTTAAGACATTCAAATACATTGACATTATATTAACATTCCATATTCATATCAATATCTCACCCTCTTTTAGTGAAATATTATACATTTCTGTAAGACTTATCCACAAATATCAATCAAACTTATAAAATGATTGATGTATATTGTTTCTGTCAGTTGATTTGTGCACATTTCTTCTTGCATCTAGAATGCGAAGAGCTGAGAGTATAGGAGAGACGGAGACGGAGAAAATTCTAGCTAGACATAAGACGAGAAAAATTAGCGATGGTGAAAAGAAGTCAATGCAAACTCAACAAGAAGGTAATAACTATCATTGTTTTCCCCTCCCCCCTTCCCTCCTCCTTAACCACTCTTTCAGAAGCAATTAGTGTACAAAGTACTTAATTTATGTACTTATTTGTTTGTTTGTTTATTTCTTTATTTAGCACTGCTTTTAATGTTATGTAACATTTTCTTATGCTTTTCATGGAGCTTGTGTATAAGGGATACTGTTTATTTTGACAATTTTTGACTTATATTTTCAATGCCAAAAATCTCCCAAATGGTTTAATTTTAATATTACAGAAAGTGGGTATGGGACAAAAGGCATATGTATTAGAATCATAAACTAAATGAATATATTTGTAATTATAACAAATATAACTGCTTATTTTTTTTTTCATTTATAAGATAATAGATTTTAATTAATATTGTTTGCATAATACTCAATATTATTTCATATTGCAGTATTGGAAGTATTGTCTGAAATAGATTCTGTAATATAAAAATGTGTTCATTAAGAATATATTCTTTGAAGGTACAGTAGATGTTTTGTGTAGAAGCTTTGTAGTTGCAGCATTTATAACAAAAATAGATTTTTTAAATTGTTATTACACATACTTTAAACAAATGTTTCAATATTATTATTATAGTAATGTACTAAATGCAAAATATAATTACTTTGTCTATGTATCTAGGTTTAGGTCTTACTTTACTCTTTGTAAGCGCATGAGATTAAATTTAAACATTTAATAATTGTATTGCCACCAAACATTTTTTATGAAAATATTATTATAATTTATGCATCATTAACTCCAAACAATATAGCTTATCCAGACTGTTCGTAGACTATACATATTGTTTGTGTAACCAGTGCTAGATCAACTTTACCACTTTCTGAAGGCCAAAAGTTAAATACACAACAATTTCTTAGATAGATTTCTGAAAGCAGTGCGTCAAAATAATCGTAATTTTTATCACCATTGCTAAAATCGCAATCATTATATATTCATTATTTCATCATCATTATTATTATTATTGTTATTATTATTATTAGTATTATTAGTAGTAGTAGTAGTATTATTATATATTTGGTTGTAGATACAAGTTTGGACACAGGTGCTACTTACAAGGACATATTTGGTACTTACTTATGCACCACTAGTTATTTGTGTATGTACATTTGAGTATGTAGTGTACTTTAACTTATATGGATATTTAATGTACCAGCATTTACTTATTTGTTCATGTTGTACTTATTTGTTTATGTGACGTACATGTTTGGACACATGAGGTGCTTTACTGTATGACTCATTATAACAATAGCAGGTTGATGTGGTTTATAGTTGCCATACCAACCGTCCCACAAGGGCCTGATTGTTTTATTAGAGGCAAAGTCATAATTACATCATGTTATAATTATAGCCCATTTTGTAGTATTCTATAAATGAAAATTGATAATCGCTATAATAGATTGCACAAAAATATATACATTAGTCACCTATATGTCATACTATTTAGGTTTTGTTGAATACAAAAAGGTAGGTGAGGTGATTAATATAGTTTAACTTTTACTAGATTTTAAATAAAATGAATACACACTTTATTATTTTTATTATTTGTCTTACCCTTTTCCCACTGAGAGAGAACATTTACCAATCCATTAACAGATCTATCTATAAATAAATGAAAAAATTAGTAGGTAGCACTTTTTTGAATAACGATAACTGGGGCGTGATTAGATTCTTGATCCGAATATTAATAAATACTGTAGTATTACCGCCATGTCTTAAAAAGTTCAATCTAATTCTCATCATAAATATCAAGAAGTTTCAACCAAAGTGTTGATTATTCCTTGAATCCTAATGACATTGGAGTGTGCATTCGTTAACACTTGTCATAAACTAAAACCTCTGACTGCAATTGTCTAACAAGCTATTGTTATAGCAAGGTCATTGTGTTGGTCCAAAAGAAAGGCTTTGTTGACACACTGCTGCCACTGGCTGATACAATATAATTCACAGTGTATTCCAGACTGAGTCTCAATCAGATACTACTAGCTTAGCAATGTGTTTGGATATTATATAGAACCATATAGAACCATGTGGGATTGTACATTGGACCTGGCGTGAGGATAGTGTTTGTGTTTTTCTTGGGGAGATTTCAGGTAGGCGTAAAGATTCAGAGAAATCTATTTGAATTAGTTAAGCACGTAGCTATGAATGCTGGTACTATCGGATGAATTTAATTTTAACAGACCACCGTTATCAAACTTAAGTTTTATGCTCAGGTTAGGTGCAAGTTTTAAGTGGTAGATTCAGTTTTTGTATTAAAGGTAGGTGACCATTCGTCCACTAAACATTTAGTCATTTTATGAAATTACTAATAGTTTAGGCTTAATTGGTTTTTTTTTTTTTTTCTGATTTTTTTCATCATAGTGAAAGGGATCATGTCTTGCTTATTTTAATTTTGAGATATGAAGATAATCCATACTGTATTTATTAATTTAAATAATGTCTTTTTTGGAATTCCTTCATCATTATCAACATATTTTAATAATTGTTACAATATCAAATCTAATATCTTTACTTAAAAATCATTTGCGATTGTCCTAAGCATGATACTGTACTATAGTTTTTTTGATGATTATTTATTTTTGAATAAATATATACTGAAACTGATACAGAAATTGTTTATATGGGGATGAATAGTGCATATATACCCAGCTATCCATTTTAAAGATCTGAAACTAGTCACACCTGACTAATTTTGTCCTTCAGGAATAGACAATCGTATTTGTTTATTGAATATTTCAGTTTTTTAAAAGATTAAAGATTATATTTTTATAAAAGAGTCAGGATTATGAATTGTAAAAACAAGTAATTTTTGTCATATCTACCTGTAGTTAGTAACATCTATCTAACAACAGAATATTTTAATAGTAATAATAGTAGTAGGTCTTTAACACAGTTTTCTATCGTTGGAAGTTAGTTGGTTGGAACGGTCTAGTGATGACTGACAGCTTGTGACTTCTGCCATACAAACCTGATGATCCTTAGGAAGTGTGGTTCCAGTAGAAGTATACTAAATAATAAAATATCCTAAATGTTTTTAAAAAAAATTATGATTATGGCACCTATACTCTAGATGGCTGTAAATGGCACTCTCAGAATGAAATTTCACAATATTTTTTTTTTCCTCCATTTTAAAAATATTTTTGAAGAAGGTGGAAGGTGACTGAGCCATTACCATTAAAAAAAATGGCAAGTGTACTTGCTGTTGGATGTGAAATATTTTTTTAAATGAAGAATATCTCTATCTCTTTTATGAGAGTTTCTGTTTGAGTTTCGGACTCAATTGAAAGTTGCAAATTCCTTTGCTGCACTTTAGCTAAAACATTCTTAGCTTGCTATGAGGGAACATTGCATAATGTTGCAGCTCATAATTTCTACATAGCAATAAACCACCTCCCTGGTAGAGAGACAATTAAACAAGTGGTCAGCCTAAGGATGTGTTTCTACTGAAAATCAACGTAGAAACAGTTTAATATAAGAACCACGCTGCAACTGCATTTTGACTCCACATGAAACACTTACCATGCAACAGTTAACAATTACCCAGAATGCCAGTTAATTTGACGAAAATGACTTATTCTAAAAGCTTTAACAACATTTTCGCCTGGCTACTAGGTAACAAGCAAGCAAACGGTGATTTTTCCTATCTGAATAAAGGGTCATGTCAGTATTTAAATAAAACAAAGTTGAACTTTTGTTCCTACTAAACAAACGAGAATATTTTGTTGTGTTGAGAATAGGAGTTTAACATTTGTTTATACTGATTCCTCTTAATAATAAATCTAATATTGTAGGTCCATCACTGAAGTGGTGGAACCCGTCCGATATTTCTAATCATTATTGAAGATCTTAATGGAATATATCCAATGATAAAATCATGCAGGAGGCTTACATTATTGACATGAGAAGTTTTTTAGGAAGTCTGATAAAAATTGATTCTCAATTTCATCGTTTTCAACAATTCTACTAGTACTAGGCATAGGCCTAGCCTGCTGGCTAACTTACCGTTAGGCCAAATTACGCCGTTATACAGTATATGTTGCAGCTAAAAACTACCCTGCGAAAATTGGTTTTTTGTTGTGTTCCCGGCACAGATTCTGTGCCAAAGAACCATTCTAAAAGAACAGTTGATTCTCGTCAGTAGAAACAAACCCTAAAAAAAGACTCATAAATTCATCTTTTGATTGGAAGCCCATAGCCTAAGTACTGCTGTGCCACATATTAAAAATAAAATTAATAAAAGAAAATTACACCGGTATGTTTCAGAACTGGATAATTACTTTCTCTTTGAAGCACAGTAGAAATGGTTTTTGATGTTAATGTTCTGTTGCTTTTTTTCATAGTTAAATCACGTCATCAACTTGATACTCCATTGGTTGTATCAGATGTAATGCATTCGCGTTGGTTTAGTCATCATCGTACATTCGGCCATTCTTCAATCTGAAAACATACATATAGCAACTTAAATCGCTAATGTTGAGTTGTACCATTTTATGTCCTTATTTCATGCAAAAACATTTCAGCTATCATTAAGTTCTACATTGTTTAATGGCTTATGAGTATTTAGTTGGCATTATGTGAAGCTTTTTGACAGACATTAATGCAGCATTTGATTAAGTGGCTACATGAACCACTAAAGGAGATACTAAGATTTAGATTAAATGAGAAACAAGGTAAAGTCAATTATAAAGATAATTAATATCTTTTATATCAATATTTATGATGTATAGTATTTGAAAAGTCAATTTTATAGTTCATTTTATGTTTTTTAGTAAATTAAATCCACCTCAGGTTTATTTCATTCACTTATTTATTGTATTTGAAATATATGAAACCTGACAAAAAAGTATGTTTTACCAAATACTGTAGGTTACAATATTTTTTTAACAATGACTTGGAAATTTCTACCATGGTGTTTTTTTTTTGTTTTTTTTTTTGCAGCAGCAGCAGCTACTTTCTAATTCTATAGATTTTATTTGTGGGTTATTGAGTTGTACCATTTTATGTCCTTATTTCATGCAAAAACATTTCAGCTATCATTAAGTTCTACATTGTTTAATGGCTTATGAGTATTTAGTTGGCATTATGTGGAGCTTTTTGACAGACATTAATGCAGCATTTGATTAAGTGGCTACATGAACCACTAAAGGAGATACTAAGATTTAGATTAAATGAGAAACAAGGTAAAGTCAATTATAAAGATAATTAATATCTTTTATGTCAATATTTATGATGTATAGTATTTGAAAAGTCTATTTTATAGTTCATTTTATGTTTTTTAGTAAATTAAATCCACCTCAGGTTTATTTCATTCACTTATTTATTGTATTTGAAATATATGAAACCTGACAAAAAGTATGTTTTACCAAATACAGTAGGTTACAATATTTTTTTAACAATGACTTGGAAATTTCTACCATGGTGTTTTTTTTTTTGTTTTTTTTGCAGCAGCAGCAGCTACTTTCTAATTCTATAGATTTTATTTGTGGGTTTAATATATATATATGTATTTCTACTATTACTAATCTATATACATAGAGAATTTCATGTTCATTTTTTTTAGGGTTTTTTTTTTTGGGGGGGGGAGGGGTTTCCAGAAATGAATATACTATTTGTTTTCAGAATGGTGATTTATTATGAGGAAGGAAGCATAAACAGTGTATTGTAACTACTGTATATCAAGTAATCTTATTTCCAAGCAAGCACAGATAAACAATGTTAAATCATGGAGGATGGTTAAATTATATTTTTAGTATTTGAGTATACTGTAACTATATATTTATTTATTTTAAACCAAAACAATATTTCACCAGGGTTTCTGATACAGTAAAAATACTGGTCTATATTGGGACCCTGGCTAAAGTAATGTATATATTTTGTCCTTCGTGACAAGTTTAATACAATTCATTTTTCATTTCACAGCTGGTCTAGAAACTCATTCAAGCATATCATCCTCAGAGTTACCGTTAACATCACTTCCTTCACAAACCAAACCAGAACCAGAGGTCATAGAAGAGAGAAGAGCTGATGAAGTTGCACCTCCACAAGCAGACAAGAGGGACCCCACAGAAGGTAAGAAAGAACTTTATTTGTTGAGTTAAATGTTGTTTTGAGTTAAACATGTCAGTTGTTTTGCAATGAATTGTCATTGCGGAGGTGTGTGTGTTTGTAGTGCCTTAATCAGCTGATTCATGATCATAATACCATGTGCCGGTATGTATGTTGAAGTATAGCCTGGTGTTTTTTTTATAAGTTTTCTCATGCCATAACTTTTTTTCGGCGACTTTTTAATGTGATTGTACTCCACCTGTTGCTATTATCCATGTTTACTCATGATTTTGTCTTGATCTCTAACCTCTGCCAAATAACACAAAAAATTCCAAATAGTGGTGATTATTGTCAGTAATGTGTGGCAACCTAGTATGGGAAACGTCTGTGGAGAAAACTAGTGTTGGAAGGCATAGATAAGGACTATTTGTGGTAGACTGTGTTAGGGACTTTCAATCACTCTTTATTACCTACCCACTTCCACTGATTTCTTTTCCTCCCTCTTGATTAGATTTTAAAGAAAAATATATGTAGTAATGATAATATTAGTATCATAGTATTCTATACAAGTATCTGCTGAAGGTATTTAGGAGAATTAGTAATTATCATCTCAAGGTCAATTTCATATTTTGACCTTTGACATGGTAGGTAAATTTTGTAGTATTGTCCTTTACTACTACAATGTTTGAATTGTCAACATGTTACATTGATTTTATAGGTTTTCTGTCAGCAATTAATGATTGACACTAATTAAACAGTTGCACTAACAGTATATAAAATGGTTGCAGTGAATCACGATGGAATCTATATAAAGATAGAGAGAAATCATCAAAATTTAGATAGGAATTTATGAATAGAACAAACATTTTTTTGTTTTATTTTCTGTTTTGTTTATTTGTACAATGCCTTTATGGCCTTGTTGAACAACACCATTGAGGTGAACAAGTGTTTCCGTAAAAAAATGAAGTTTTTAATTATTATTATGATACAGTCTATACTTTAATTACAGTACAATATATATTTGTTAAATTAAACTGAAATGCAGGACAAACCATGTTTAAGTCTGAGAAAATCTACATGATTGACATGCTAAAATTAGTCATCTTTAAAATATATGTAATATTTATATATTTAGTTAAATTTCAATTAATTAATGAATTAATTAGACACAGAACTGCTAATATTTGATCATGCATTTACCAGTTATTACTGTTTGGAATTTATTTAATTTATCTTAAAACAAAAAGTTAGCGGTACGAGTTGAAGCCGTAAAAGCAAGATCGAATAGCCAAGCATGCATAAAGAAATAGCTAGGAATTTCCACTACTTGGCACAAAGTAGAATATTCATTAAGAATTCACCAACCGATGACTAAAATCTAAAATGAATTTATAAGATTTTATTGAATAAAACCACACTGAAATTAAGACAGGATATAAGAGTTATCTAGCAGAAATGTAACGAACCACATTCAAATTAAGATAATGTAGGTAAGAGTTGACAGGTATATTTTAAAAAAACGAAAGTCGAAGTATTAAAAATCAGTCATTCTTGATTTTTGTTAGTTCATTGAAACTAATAAAATGATCATAAAATTTGGTATAGATATTGGTCATTGTATTAATGCTATTTTTATACAATTGTTGCATGGTATAATAGTTTAAGGACATCAGATAAAGATAAGATTCACACAATCATAATATAGGGCAATTCATATATAACAAACTTATTAAGCTCTGAACAGGTAGAATTCTGAAGAAGACAAGGGATTGTAAAATCCATTAATCCATGTAGAGTGTGGCCACTGATCTCTACTATAGTAGCTGGATTGCTCATCGGCCAATCCTTGTACAGAAAAAAGTAAGGCCTCCGAGGCCATGTTGGAGGGCCTAAGTGACGTACCAGTTTAGACAAGTTTCTTTTGGCATTTATTTAAATTATAGTTAAAAATAACGATTCTTGCAATACGTTTCAATAATAAATTAAAATTTAACTTTTTTTCAAACCATCTAACCACTAGTTAGATAATTTTTTTAGATTTTTTCAAACCATCTCAACCACTAAAACAAAAAGACAGTAACTCTGAAAAGAGACAGAGACATTTTGAGATTCAATTTTTCGATCTATTTGATCATTTTCAAGATACCACTAGTTTATGGAGTTTGGAAAAGCACGAGCGAAGTCGCGTTGTTGTAGTGACGTCGATCCTAACAACGCAATAACTTTGCTTGCGCTTTTTTAAACTGCATAAAAAGCCAGTCAAGGTTGATTTGAAAAAAAATCATTATGTTACATTCAAATTTATTATTAATTAAAATGTTTTGCAAGAATTGTTATTTTTAACAATAATGTAAACAAATGCCAAGTATTTTTATTTTCTTGAGAAATGTGAGGGCAGCAAATTTCTCTTGCATTGATTAATACTATATTACTAGTATTGTACTTGTTGTACAGTTACGACATATATTAATTGTATACATTCTCACTTTGGCTTAATCGATTTATTTTTCATAGGATAGGAGTGATGTTTGACATAGCTCGTGTTGAAATACCAGTTTCTTTTTGTCATTATGAAATTGAACTTCCATAATACAATAGTACCAAGTTGGTTATTATTAATGTTGTTATTTAGTTTATATTGTTTGCTACTTTCTGCCATTGTCTTTATAATGGTTTTGTGTACTTCCTGTTATGTGATCTGAACAACTCTACTATTGATCAATATGAGGAGATACTCGCAAGTATAGTACTGTATGAATCACAGAAACTATGATGTCAAAGTTGTCCATGAGGTACTTAATTTGTAGATGTACTAGTATGGTTTGTTTCCCTAAACCTTCACAAGCAATGATTTGGAGGCCTTTGTTCATTCAGGGTTTCTTTATGTGGTTAAAAAGTGAATGAAAACATAAGGGTTGGCTGTAGTGTTCAAGAAATTGGCGGTTGAAAAATTGTTCCTTAATAGGGGTGTCCCAAAGAAGGGGGTTCTAGTGTAGTTTACATCTTTCATTGATGATAAAATAAAAATATTGTCGCTCTTTGCAGCAAAAATCCTCAACACATTACGAATAATAAAAGATAAACAAACAATAATCATAGTAGTAGTTGATATACAAAACTTGAACTTTACTTGTTGAAAACTAACCTATACATAAACCGAAAGTTTACCTGATTAATCTCAGATAAGAAAGTATAATACATACTTCAAGTATGCACGCCATCATTGTGGGATTCAATATTTCGGCATTAATTATGTCATCATTCCTGATGATGACATAATTAATGTCAAAATATTGACAGTTTGCATAGCAATGTAGATAGGCATACACTTGTCCAGCATCTGATGTTGGAATCTCATGATATTCTTGAGCGTCCTACCTCTCATATACAGAAATAGTGTATTTAAAAAAAAATATAAAGTTATGGATAATTAGCTGGTAGATATGCACATTCGTTTACACAGCATTTTCGTAATAATTAAAGAGGGCACACTCTAACTATAACCTTAAGGATAGGCATATTCAAGTTGTAGCTGGCAAAATAAACACTATTGAAGATATAAATAATAAACAGCTCTAAATTACGAAAATAGCCAACTTTTAATGTTATTGATTTATTCAGCAATGTTTTATGAAAATTAAGGATTCTAGCTTTGATAAACTGATGATTATTGGGGTTCTTAACAAAACTTTGAGAATTTTTCTATGGTGTTTGAGGCTCAGCTAGCACTTTTCAAGATCTAAGTTAAAAATTCAAAAAGACATTTTCACAAAATTGATTTCAATGTTCAAAACAATAAAAAAAAAAAAGCTATATTTCCTGATTATTTTAAATGTCAAAGGTCAACCAGCAAACCTTTGCATGTGAACGTTTTTGGAATATTATATCCTTGCTTTGGTCCAGTTTCCTTATAAAAATTAATAACTTTTAAAGGATATATAGTTTAACATTGGATACCAATACCGGTATATCATCTGCTTGTAAGTAACCATTATTTTTAGTTTTCTTAGATTTATAATAATTATAAATAAAATTTAAGAGCTTTCACAACAGGTGTCAACACCAATAGATTTATTTGTACACCTACTTAAACAGGTAACAACACCTGGGTTAAAAAAAAATTGGGTTAAAAATGGAGTTGTAAAGAAAATTTATTGATTTTTCATTTTGGTAAGTACTGCTGATAGCATACCTACCAAGTTTCCTGGCAGGAGACTCCAGCTTTCTGACCCATCTGAGGCCCTTCCACAAGCCAGATGCATTTTCCCGCTTTTAACGCATCTCATCACAAAGAAAAAAGTAATACTGAGTGTCCCCTAGAATGTACCAGAGAGCAACTAGGCAAAAACTTATGGGTCTTACAGTAGGTGGGCCCTCGACCCACGTCTATTTTGCCCATTCCGTGGCAAAATCTCAAGCCAGCACTTCTTTCAAACTTGGCATGTGTGTGGTACTGTAGATTTGATTTCTTATAGGATTAGTGTTAGCAATATTACCTGAAGTGTAAAACTATAGATGATGATACTGCTACTACTACTAATTTATTTATGGTTTTATTCAATATCATCTTTAGCATAATTATTCTTATCATTAACGTTTTTTGTGTGGTATTGAGTTTCGAAGGTTGTAAGTAGAGGGTCAGTTCATGGACATTCCCTAGTGACCTATAAACGTTAGCTAAACCTGAATACACAGGAAGCACATTTACTAAACTGGTCAAAGTTATGTAGATTCCTGTTGTTTGGTATTCAAAATGGTCACTAAAATCAGCTTTATAGATATGACTCCCAAGTAAAGAAATTATTCCAATTGACATTGTGTTTGATTATTCACAAATTGGATACAAGGAGTTAAATAAAGTTATGATATTAAAACCTTTCTTATTCAAAATGGCACCTTAATGTAATAATTACCAAATTAATGTACTGTAAAATGTTTTAAATTTAAAGGAAAATATTCTATGAGGAAGCAAAATTGAGATTAAGATTTTTCAAATTTAAAGGAAAATATTTTATGAGGAAGCA